TAAACGTTCCCGTAGCCATCAACATGGCCGCCACGTCCCACAATTTAACGCGGATCGCACTGCCCTATTCACTTTGAGTATAAACCGGGCTTTAGCGGTTAGGAAGCGGTTTGGGATTCAACCTTCAGGACCCAGCAGGTAAGACTGCAGCTGACTCCTCCCACCCGAGACGAAAAGTTTCACGCTTCACGCGTGAAACTTTTAATATTAATCTTTTAGTGCAGTAAACAGTTTTCATCATACGCTTTACGTAGAGTCATCTAATATAATCTAAAGCATAACTAACTTCTTAGGTCTCTTAATATCATCGGTTCTTCACTTCTTGAACCACATCTCAGTCTTTGGTTCTGTTTTCAGCATTATTTGTTAATTTCCTCAAAAAGATAACTTCCTCATATATTGAAGCAAATACATGTTGCTCTCACTTTAGGATCCAAGTAACATTTTTACAAAAAACATTTCAAACATTATTCTGTATCTTATAGAGTAAACAGCTAGTCCTGATGCTGGGGGAGAAAGTTAATAAACATCCTGGATTATTATTGTGAAACTAGTCTGAATGTTGATTTCTTAGTTTTACTTAAAGTTTTTACAGAGGTACATCTAGTACATTATTTAACGATTCATAGAATCTCTAATTTTATGGAAATTTATTGTTCCATGTTGGCTCCTGTTGATTAAATTTTTTATTTTATGTTGTAGACAGTCTTAATTTACATTTTCCTGATTTATTTACTTTTAGCAGCTTCTTTTGCATCCTCTGATATTTATATTCCATATAGTTTACAGGTAAACATGTTAATTTTACAATCTACTTTGTGCCTAGATAATCACTAGGAGGTTCATATTGAATGTTTCTGTTTAATTAATTTGAATCATGACCTTTTCTAACATAGTCACATAATTTTCACGTGTCTCTATCTTCTGATTTAGTTCTTAATACTATAACGTTAGACTGTTTGTTTTAAATCACTGAATTTGGGAACAAATCCAAAGTATTAGCAGCTAAGCTCTATGTAATATCCATTAATAGTTTCCTACCTTACTATGACATTTGGCACAAACCGTGAGTCTTCCTTCAGAAAAGGTTTAAAGTTTAGCAGCGTCTGTGAAGAGAAACTTAAAGCAGAATAATTAGTACGTTGTTAATGCAGAATGTGCGATTAAAACCTAGTCCACATTGTGTCCTGCATTAAGGAGGCTGAGCCTTGTACTTAAAATAAAACTGGTCTGGAAATGTTTGATCTTTTCCTTTCAAACCTTTGATCAATTAATACATCATGTTTATCAACCTTAAACAGAGAATATAGTCATAATGAAGAAAACTGATTTCTAATATTTGAAATAACATCTGTAGATTCACTGTTGGCTGAATCTTTACAAATCATAGCTGGTGGTTTTTCAACTTAACTGTTCCAAAAACAAACTAAAAGTAAAATAAAGGTTCAAACAGCATCCCATAGGATTCAGGATGTAACCGTTGTAATGATTTACATAGTGGCAATTAGTAAAATATTCTGAACATTTTGAAGCTTATTAATTACTGTTTTTAGTTTTCCCAATATTAATTCAGTTTTTGTAAAGTAAACATCTAGCCTGACGTAG